TCTCTTAACTTCCCACTAGAAAACTTTTCTTCAAGAATTTGAAGAGGGGGGAAAAAAAGTCCTAATTGCCTTCTGAGAATGTCATCTCCTGACATAAGTTGGTATTACTGGGAACACAGCCAGATAAAAAAGTTCTACATGCTTTTGCAAGATTATCATTTAGCATCTTTCCTATATTTGAATGATCATTTATTTGAGAGTAGATCTACTATTTTCTTTGGAAAATAGTAGAGAAAATATCATGAACCTAATGATTGAAGTTTTCTTGATCTATAAAAACTGCGTAAATTTGGAGACGTAATAGTGGAAAATTTGAACGGTAGAAAGATAGTCTCTACAAACATTTGTTTTTCAAAAGAACAAATAAAAGAAGAAAAACCAACCAGAAAGTTGTGATGGAGCTGACAAATGTTACCAGAGAATTACTGAGAAATAAGTAAAATAAATCAACTTAAATGAAATTCTTGCTAAGTCTTAAGTCATATGCAATTAAATTGAAATTATCTAAACAAAGACAAGTATTGTTTTCTACATGACAGGTATTATTTATGAAGGGTGCCCTTTCTTAAATCTTGTGATACTGCATATATGGTATAACTTTAAAGGATGAAGACAAATTTAAGAAAAATCTGTTACTTATTAAGCACCAGAGGGAAAGAAACAGCTTACCTCTATATTCTGCTAAATATTGTTAGGCAATTTTTGAAAGCGAAAGTTGTTTTGTTACATTTTTGATTCTGCAAGACTGAAAAAAATTACCTGATATATTTTCATTTTTTTTAACATCAAAGTAAAATATACCAAACTTTGTCATTCAGGCTAGCATGCCCATCTGAAATAGCTCTACCCTTGATACCTAGCCATGGTTTGATACTCAGACATCAAGCCAGTTCTCCTTTTTAGCTATCTACAATGACATTTATTCCATATGTTTTCTACCATTCAAATTTCCCACTATTACATCTCCAAATTTACAGTTTTTATCAATCGAGAAAACTGCAACCATTAGGTTCATACTATTTTCTCCATTTAATAATATCTGTCCCTATTTTTTTTTCTCTTATTCAGATACAGATGTCTCTCCTATCTTTCCAAAGCTTGGGTATCTACTAAGTTGTTTATCTACTAAGTTGTTCATTTTAGAATATGGCCCATTTTTCTGAAGTAGTGTCAATGGTAGGGTGGGGTAGGGTGGGACTCAACTGTAAGAAAAACACATAACCAGGTGTCAGAGGACCAAGGTGGGGGTGCATGTTCTCCTTGGAAAGCACCATTCTCTCAATCCTTAACCAGATCACTATTGAGAAATTTAGCTTTATTCTTTTCCACACTTATTCTTTTTGTTTTTCAGGAATTGTTAAGACTCATTTAGCACCTTAGCATTAAAACACACACACACAATAAAACCCCTCACTCACTTCTGCTGCCATGCCTTTCTACAACCCCGCCCTTCTTTTACAAAGCTCCTTAAGCCATCTCCATGGTATCTTATACTTCTCAACTCCTCTACTCTGCTTCCACCACTACTTATCAAAATCACTTCTCAAAGTTCACGAGTAGCCTAATTAGAAAAACAAAGGCATTTTCCAAGTGTTTTATTTTCTTGGGTCTGTGGTCTCAGTGCTCTCCTTGGTGTACACCTTAGCAGGTGTACACTGCTTTTGATTCTGAATCACTTCTCCAGCTGGTCCCTGGTGAGACCATGCACATGCAGTAGCTCCCTCCGCTGCTGCTTCTCAGTCCTAAGAGTAAGTTTTCTCCAAGGACCAACTTTTCTTCTGTTTTTTGCTCTTAATATTCTCCTTCTGGGAGTCTATCTACTGGTGTTGATAAATTGTCACAGGTATGATCAGCATTCTCAAATTGACACCTTCTGCTCTACTTGTGATAGAGCATCAGAGTGGTCCCTCAAGCATTCATTGGAAGCTCCTTTTTCAAATTCTCATCACCACTTCTCCCTTAATATTGCTAACCCTGAATTGTGCATCTTCCCTTTCAAGTAGTCTGTGTGGATGGCACTAATTCTTCCGGGGCTTTATTTCAAACTCTTGATCTTCCTTACTTCTACCTCCTCGGCTATAATGTATATCATTCTCTAGATCATTCCTTTACAGAACTTCAATCCAGTAAGTGTTTATAAAGAAGTTATCAAGAACATTCACTTACATCCAAATGTGCCCCACTCTTCCCAGTTCAGAGTTTTGCTCAAACATTTTCATTCACCTTTCTCTCTCTTTCTACTTCTCAAAAGTTTGCCCATCCTTGAAGGCTCATCTCTGCCAGCATGACTTCTAGGAAACATGGAAGCATGTCCTAGTTCTACTAGGGAGAAGAACTACTCTCTCTCACCTAAATCCCATCACACTTTATTTATATGTTTGCTATTTCATCTACCAGACTGTCTTGCATATGAATAATATAGAGAAGTTTGTTCTAAGTGTAGTTTGTGACCTCTTGGAAAGCAGTAAACTATCTTTCCAACTTTTCTTCCAAGTTAGATCCATAACTGTGCTATAGATGCAGTAAGAGTTTTAAAAAACCAAGACAAATTAAATGAAACTGCCCACCCGCCTATATTCCCAGTGGCTCAGAACGCTGAGACAGGAGGATCATGAGTTCAAAGCCAGCAACAGCAAGGTGCTAAGCATCTCAGTGAGACTCTGTCTATAAATAAAATATAAGATAGGTCTTGGGGGCTAGGGTTGAGGCTCAGCGGTAGAGCACTCGCCCCGCACGTGCGAGACCCTGGGTTCGATCCTCAGCACCACATAAGAATAAATAAATGAAATAAAGGTATTGTGTCCAACTACAACTAAAAAAAATAAATATTAAAAAAAATAGGGTTGGGGATATGGCTCAGTGGTTGAGTGGCCCTAAATTCAATCCCTGGTATGAAACAAACTAAACTAAACTAAACTGAGATAGGATATGAGCTAGGCCTTGGAATAGCAGAAAATATTAAGAGTTATGTGCTCCTGTTTGAAAGGCTGATAGGCATTGGGCATATTATCTCTAAAAAACAAAAAGCCAGAAAAGAAGGGGTCAAGAACCTCAAAGATCCAAAACATAATCCCCCCCACCAAAAAGTGAGGAACTACATTTAGAAAAGAGTTTATTATCTAATAAGCTTAATTTATGTATCTGGAATTTCCAAAGACTAACAGCTTGGTTGCAGTTATTATTGGTTTGACTGCAATATGTTTTTGCTTTTCACCTTAACAGTTTTTATCTGATTTGGTAAAAATCACTTTAACAGTTTTTATCTGATTTGATAAAAAAAAGACTTAAAGTAGACAAAGGTATATAACAATTAGAATAGTTACTCATGAGTTGAGAGATCCAAGACAGAACCTGATGCTCGTGACAGTTCTGAATTCTTTGCTTTTCACAACTACTTCAGGCTCTAAACTTCCATCAAACTTCAGTTATTAAAAATATTTTGTGTGTATAATTCTGAATTGTTCTAGTTAACATGCAATATCTGGAATTTAAATCATTTTTGATTCTGTGTATTACATTTAAAATTAAATTATTGTACTTTTAAATAATCTTTCCAATTTATATGACAGAGTGACCAATCCCAATGTGAAGACAAATTATGGCAAACTATGCCACATAGGAAGTAATATATTTTAAGCAATAATTTTAATTTATACACAAATACACACTCTCACACACACTTAGTACTATTATCAAAGCGCTTCATTATTTTGAAGGGACATGACCTCAACAACTTGCTCCGTCATTCCTCCGGCTTACCTTTATTATTGGTTTTGAATCACCAAGAATTAATATTAATTTCATCATCAACCTTGTATCAAATTCTACTTTAATATAACAGATGTGTACAGAGTGAGCATGGTTGAGGGAAAAAGAGATAAGAAGGAGACTGAGGCAGAGAGGGCAAAGCACACCTTCTGTGAGATAACCCTAACTTATTAAATTGGTTTAGATTATTTAATAATCAAATTAATAATGGACAAAAATAAAACCATACCCACTGAAAGCTCAACTCAAACAACAGACTAATTTGGTTTTATTTTCCCAGTGACTTGAGGTAAATACAGTGATCCATATGCTCATCATGACCAAGTGTATGCGACATTTGGGGAAAACTCACACTTATGATGAACTCACACTTACAGTACTGTGCACGGAACTCTCTTTTCACAATATTTTTAGTAGCAAGTACAAAAGTGATCAGCAGAGGTAAAAATTTCCACCCACTTCATTTTTATTTGGTATGTTTAGAGTCAGGTAAACATCAAGTGCTATGAGAAAAAAAAATTATATTTCTTTAAAAAATACCCTAGGAGGAGAGATAATTTTCTTAGTGTAAAACTCAGCCTTTATTCTGTCAGGCCAAGTAATTATGGAAGCAAAACAAATACACATTGTCTAATTAGGTCATTAAAAAAGCATAAATGCGTCATGGAAGTTTTTCTCCTGCCCTGAGACATAAAGTAAGACAATGAAAAGAGTCTGGTAATATAGAAAGGTTTCAAATTTGTTTCTTTTCAAAAATAATAGGTCCTTTCATCTTTCTATTTCCCTTAGATGAAGACAGTTAATTTAGAGACAAAATCTTTTAATTAGTTCAGAGTTTACCCTGATTGTATTTCAAAATATTTAACCAAAAACAGGAAGACAGAGAGAGGGGAAAACAGAAAATACATGGAAAAATTATCAAAGGAAGTAAATTAAAATCAAGAGAGTGGGTTGTTGATCAAAATGTCTTCTGCAGAGACAAGACGAATATAAAATCTCTGTTCACATAAACACGAGCCATCAGGGATGCCAGAAAGCTCTTAGGAGGAATATATTGGCATCCGCCTTTGGGGATTGAAATCCAGACTTTAATTACAGCTAACTTAAATAAAAACAAATGGCATGATTACGGTGCTTCTTCCTCTCTCTACTTACTGTCATTTCTTGAGTTTCAGAAAACTCATGGCTCCAAGCATTAAGAAATGGGGAAAAGAGAAGGCCAAGGCACATACCTGTGATCCCCGTGACCCTCGTTTGTGGTCCCATTCTGAGTGTCCCAGGAGCTGTAAGGATAACATTACAACTATGGTCAATTAAATGATTATGTGACATGATAAATCTTTTTATTCTTTCTTTTGAAGAACAATTAAGTTATTGAAATCTGTGTTCTAATAGTAATACATTAAATAATCATTGTGAATAAATCAACACACCTGAAGACATAAACTTGGAGTTTGATAGCAAGCGTTTCAACCTCCAGTTATTTTGAAGGTGCACATCAGTAGGTGACAAAAAGAACTGGCAAATATATAACTTTACTTTTCTTTGCCAGGAACATCCTAGATAGATGTCAAATCCTGTAAAGCTTTATTTACATAGCATTAAGCTTCCAGTTAAGTAGGAAAATATGCTGAGTAATCTAATAGTGTAGTCTAACCTATTGTCACAAATAAGAACCAGAAACTCAAAACATTTCAATAATTTTTAATTCTATTTTGGTAATATCACCAAAACACGACAGTTCTAAAAATAATGGTATTATTTAGTGTGAAAGGTGCCCCTGAAATCGCAACATTTATTTTTTTCTTAACAAAGACTATAAAATATCAAGGTATTTCCATTGTTGTAATAGCCCCCAGCTGTTCTGCCTACAAAGCAGGTTATTTATTTATTAGAAAAACATTTATAGAAGAGCTGGATGTGGTGGTGCACACCTACAATCTCAGCTACTCAGGAGTCTGAGGCAGAAGGATGGAAGTTGGAGACCAGCCTGGGCAAGTTAGCAAGACCCCGACTCAAAATAAAATTTAAAAGGGCTGGGGATGTAGCCCGGTGGTAGAGGGCTTGTTGAGCATATGTGAGACCAAGTTCAATCCCCAGTACCCTCCCCCTACCCTCACCCACACACAAATAAAAAAGAAAAAAAATAATATTTACAGAAAGAATATTAAAGAAAGAAAAGACACCAACTGAGGGGACTGAAATTCATTTGTCCACCCAGCACACTCGCTCTTCACAAGAGCCAAAGAACTATTTGCAATAAAGCACTGTACCCCCAAGGTGGGCTATACATGTATTTATAGACATCATTTATTTTTCTGTAAGCAATGGCTTCTTAGAAGAAAGTTTTTCATGATAAAACAATAAAAAGATCAACTGAATGTTATTAAGAAATTTTCTATAATGATATACATAAATAAAAGGTTAATCTTTACTGAGGAACATAGAACAGCTAATAGAATACTTTTAAATAAAAATATTTTTTAATCAACCAAATATAAATTTTACCCGAGGGAACATATAAGAATCCATTATGTTGAATGATTAAATCTAAAAATCTAATGTACAGCATAAGACCTAAAGTTAGTAATATTTATTGTAGATTTGGAAATGTGTTAAGAGAGTAAATCCTAGACACTGTTAAAACACACACACACACACACACACACACACAAAGAACAGAGAAAGTTAATGCAATGAGATGAGATGAGGGCATTTTCTTAACTGTAGTTATCACCTCACTATGTGTACTGATATCAACACATGATGATCTATAGCTATGCCTATACCATAGAAAGAGCATCACTTAGAAAATATTACAAAGCAGAAAACAGCCTCCTGATTATTAAAACATTTTCTAAAAACCTAACCCCACATGTGGATAATCAAAATACAAATGAATGAAATATAGTGGGTTGTTCGAAATACACACAGGTATATGTTACACCAAAATGATGAAAAATAAAATGTTAAAAAAACAAAGTGTTTAATGAATTATTCAACAAATGAAAAAAAGAAATAGGCTTTTTTGGGGAAAACATTATGAGTTTAACCTTATAACAAATACTAATTTGAATTCTACATTTGAAAGATTTAATTTATTTTAAAAAATGAGATGATAAATATAAAATAGAATAAAAATCTAGGTAAATATTAACCTGCTTTGGAAAATAAGAATCAAACTTGAAATAAATGTGAACCTATCATTCCTTCCTTCCTTCCTTCCTTCCTTCCTTCCTTCCTTCCTTCCTTCCTTCCTCCCTCCCTCCCTCTCTCTCTCTCTCCCTCCCTCCCTCCTTTCCATTCCCTCCCTTCCCCTCCTCTTCCCTCCCATGCCCTCCAGTGCTGGTAACTGAACCCATGGCCTCATCCATGATGGGCAAGTGCTCTATCACTGTGCTACAATCCCAGCCCTAAACTGTTTCCTTAAAGATCTTTTTCCACCCTAAATCACAAAATAAGATCAATTGATCTGGCTGTATAAAATTTTTGAATGTCTTTACAAATTTGCCACTGCTAAAATACCTGCAGTAAATAGTAGGTAAAATACAATGTTTAAGCACATTAAAGAGTGCTGACGAAATTGAAAGAAACACAACTCTCATAGAAAACTTGAGAGAAGGATAGGAACAATTTACAGAAGAAAAAAAATCAATACTTGATTCATTTATGGAAAAGTTTTAACTTTATTTGAAATGAAAGAAATTCAGTATAAACAATAAATCAGTATAAACAATATAATACTACTGCTGCCTATTAAATTAGGAAATTAATCATGATGCAAAATGGATGAGTTAGGGAGAAATATAAGCGTATACATTGCTAGATTACAACATATATATGCATACTTAATGTATATAATTACATTTACAAACATTTATAAAACATGGATATAATTACATATACCCAAATAGCCTTAGAAATTCATACCCTTTGAACTAGTAAAACCAAATGTAAAAATCCAATAATTATAATGTGTTAACCACTGTGTCTCCAACAAATGAGAAATTATCCGAGAAATGATAGTATACAAAAGAATAATATACAGCAATTAAAATTAGGCTTTCAAAACCATTACACAAACATTGTGCCCCTGAGGTGGTACACACGTGTAATACTAGCAATTCAACTCTGGAGGCCAAGGCAGAAGGATGGCAAGTTTGAGGCCAGCTTAGAAAGACCCTATCTCAAAATAAAATAATTAAATAAAAAGGATGAGGGATGTAGCTCTGTGATAAAGTGCACTGATTGCAATCCTTAGTACCTGTCCCCACCCCCCCCAAAAAAAAAAACACTTGAGAAATACAGTTTAGTATGTGAAAAATATACCAAAATAATTTTAACCTACTCATTTTAGATAAGACATAGCCAATCACTGTAGGCCTTGAAATTTCTTCAATGATTTATTTATCGTTAGTTTGGCTAGTACACAATTTTAGAAAAATTAACTCAGATGATCATTATGTAAAATTAGAAGCTTATATAATTGATATTTCTTTAATACTTTAGCTTTTTAATTATTCTAATTTATTGGCATTACTGCTAATGAATACCCATTAATACTAATTAAAATTTGATTATAATAAGGTTCACAAACATTAATCAAATAAAGAAACTATATGATTTAGAAACATTTAAATTACAACATTTAATTAGTTGTTAACTAGAACTATCAAAAGCAATTCTTGGCACATTTCAATCATTTGCCTTATTAAGAACTTGAGAATATCTTGCATTAATAACTGGAAGACTAGATGCTTGTTTTTGGCAACTTTAACGATAAAATAAACTTGAGCACTGGGCTGCAAGTGAAATGATTTATCATAATCTTCTAAAAACATTTTATAAAAGGCTGGCTGTTATGGATGAGTTTAAACTCTCAGGGTTGGAATAATAGTAAATTCTACTCTGCATGGGTATCACAGTTAAAAGAACTAAATACCAAATGCAAATTATAATTCAAAATATATTTATTTAAAAAAGAATATTTGACAATGACAATATACCAAGAAGTACACATATTTTCTAGGGCCAGAACTAAAATATGAAGAGCACAGAATTCACTGCCCTCTTCCAATAACTAGCTCGTGTTATGAAAAGAGCAAAAACAGGGGCTGGGGTTGTAGCTCAGTGGTGGAGTGCTTGCCTAGTGCTAGTGAAGCACTGAGTTTGATTCTCAGCACCACTTAAAAATAAATAAATAAAGGTATTGTGTCCATCTACAACTAAAAAGGATATTAAAAAAAATAAAACATTCGAAATGTATATTCATTTGGGTCATCAATGAACACAGAAGAGAAAAATCAATTTGATAAATCACAAGTTGAACTTGTAAAACAAACTTCCATGTCTAAATCTGTCTTTTCCTTAAAGCATAAAATAGTACAATTTGTGAAATAAGTATCAGAGTTATTTCCTAGCATTATATGACAGACTAATTTAGAGTAAAGAAATTCTATTTTGTCCTGTTCTTAAGCATTTATATTACATATCATTATATTTGAAAGCTATAAGTTGAGCACATACATAAGCTTAAAATGCACACCACTGGTACATTTTTCCAAATAATAAAGTTATAGAAATCTACATGCTAGGTGAAATATTGTAAACAGAAAAATAACTCTACCTGTGATACATGAGATGCTAGGACGTTCTCTAGTCAATAAGGAGGAGAGCATTAAAGGAAATTAACAGGATAGTTTCTCCTTTGGACTTGAGAAAACCACACAAAGATTTTTAGCATTAAAATTCTATTTTTAACTAAAATAATTGGAACCAAAATTTATCATTCATTATTTCAGTGTATAGAATTTATTGTGGCATCCTCTGTCATTTTGTTTCTTTAATGCAGAGACAGAGGCAGCAGAGGAATGAGACCTGGATAGTGTCAAGACTGCCTCTCTCCATGGGGATAGCACACTGGACACTAGAGTGGGATAGTGGTAGAAGGAAAATAAGCTGCATGTTATAATAGCACAAAATAACATGTACAATTTTATTCTGTAAAACTATTTTTGTATCGTAAGAAGAATATCCTTGGATCATAAAGCATAGAATAAAATAAGCAGGACATTTTCAGTATTCCTTTTTAAAAAGTCATCCATAATGTGATGAAATGACTTACTAAATACTATAGACCATTTAACCTGAACAATCAGTGGAGAACATTTCTAGTATAGCAGAACTATAGGGCCAAATGTTTTGCAAAGTACTATAGACACTTTCCTATCCCCACTCTCCAGACTATTGATTATAACCAATAAAAAAAACACTGTCAGTTAAT